TTTTAGTCCTTATTTTTTGTTTATTTAAATTTCTAATAGATTTTCTTCCCTTATATACCTTATAATATCTTTAATAACTTTTGACTGGAACAGAAAGAAAGGAAAACAACAAAATCTTAATAATATTTTGTGGGTTTTGCTATAATATTTTTGGATGGTTATCAGTTTATCACACTTTCTAATTTTCCATTTTAAAATTTTTATAGTTACCCTTTTTTTAATTTTTTTTTTTTTTTGTAGGAAAGGAAAGGATTTTATAACTTAAATTAGGTTTTATAACTAAACATGAACATCTAAATTAATTTTAATGTTTTTCTTCTTCTGTACAAATATTGGATTTTTTTTTAACAATAGAGAATATGAAAACAGTGGTGACTCATGCAATTAGAAAATTACAAAATTTTTAAATTCTCATACATTTGTGATTTTGTTCCTGGTTGGTAACATTTGAAATTTGATGGATGGGTTAAAGGCATACCGAGCAATTTTCCTTCGGAATTGTCATTCGCGATTTTTCATATATATTTGCATACAATTGAGAAGAAATTAAAACACTCCTCTGATATGAAGGGTGATACAGGTACTTCAACATATTTTAATTTACAATTACAAAAAATGTATCACTGCCCAATGTAATACATGGAAATCTTATAGAATATTCAATAGTAAATTCTGTAAAATCAATTATTTCAAATTAAATTATGTATTACGTCAGTGAATGAACGAGTAGTACTCGTAGATCACCAAAATATAATATTTTTAATACAATATTCTTGACATTTTTCTTAAAATTTGTTAAAAATTTAGGCATAATTATCAGTTCAAATCAAGTCAGTATATTAAATAAAATAAAGTCTTAATATAAATTCGAGAGTCATTATGATCTCATACTTCGTCGTCATAGTTCATTATGTAAGAGCCGCCACTGCATTCTTCTCTGAACATATTAAGATTGTAAACAGAGTTAATAACTTATCTCTTAATTACCCTTTACATGTAGATATATAGAATATGTGGTTGTGTTATACGAGTATGTATACAATTTGTATAATATAGAAAATAATATCCTTTATTATCTTTTAAGAAAATTTTCTTTTAAAAGTTTTCCTTATTATTATATTAAATAACATTATTATGTACAAACCAGATATATATATATACGTTCATAAATCCATTGAAAATATTAATTGGTTATATTTGTATTATGAAATTGAAATTTTTCAGGTTATGCTCATCTCGAGAGAAGATGGTGAAAAATTTTGCTTAAAAAATTCATAAAATTTTTCAAAAAATTTTCTTAAAACAAGAAACATGTTATTTGTACATTCGTACATATTATGTACTCGTATGTGTGTGTATATATGTATGTGTGTGTATGTGTGTGTATATGAGATAGGATATTAGTAGATTTGGGTCTGTAAATAAAAAAAATAAAATTATATTTTAAATGCATGTAATTTAGAAAAAAAAGAAGAGAATATTTTCATGTCCTGGTATAGTTTTTTATCTTTATGTGACACAGAAAAATCACAAGAAAATACACTTTGCTCTCATTTTTAATTAAAAAATTTTTAAATATTTAAAATTGATTTTTTATTATTTTAAAAAAAAAAACAAAGGTTCTGGCACTGATTATAAAAGAGAATTTTTTAGAACTCATATAATAAACTAAGCATGTTAAATAAACAGAATCCAAATTGAATATTAATATTCCCAATATATTGTTGCAGTCATATATTGCAATATATTTTTTTAACGAAATCTCAAATGCCCTCAATAATGTTACGTTTATTCGATAATTCTATTGATAAGGTAAGAGTTGAATGATATAGAAGACAAAACTCAAAAAATTCTTAATCTGTTCAAAAAGTGGTTTTTTTCATAAAATAAATTTTCAAATGTCTGAGTATGTTTTTGAGAATTAAGGTAATGTTTAGGTCCTGAGAGTTTGTAATGAACAAGTTTTTAATAAAAAAATTTTTGAAATTAACAAGACAACATTTTGATATAGAAAATTTTTGAACACAAATTTTGAGTACAAATTGTAATTGACTGACTTTGAATTTATTATAAACTAAATCGAAATGAGTAATAACCTCCGACCGGAAATTCAAATAGTTTTACTTGCAAACATTAAGGCTCAGATAGATATGCAATTTTAAGGTTTCCAACTGTTTAGAAGCAAATAAGGAATTTATATTCCATGGATTTATATTCAAGTGGGCACACATGCAATTGTATGATCGCATGCAATTAAACAATCAAACCGTTTGTCTTTTTTACAAATTGAATATAATTTTTTTTTAACACATTCGATTTGAATTGACACAATAGTTTTATTGTTTTTGTGCTCGCTACAATTCTGCAATCAATAAAATTGCAGAACTAAAAATTGCATGTCAGCCTCATCCTTTAATGTTGTTAAAGCTTGTTTGAAATCAAATGTATGAAATATGTATGAAATCAAATTAAATGTTTGAAATAAAATTTTATATAAAGCGTTGTATTGAAATCAATTGTTTGAAATAAATATTTATGTATTAAAACATGTATGAAATCAAATCGAATGTATGAAATAAAATTTCACATAAATAATAAGTTACTAGTGTTATATTTAAGAATTTAGGAAGCTAAATGAATATTACCTTCATAACAATTAGTTGCACAAAAAAAAAAAACAGTTTTGATAACAGTAGTTCGAACAGTAATTCATGATCGTTCATTAAAAATTTAAAAAATATGTAACAAACAGTATGTTGCATGACACATGCATGATTTGTATGATATTTTCAAATTGATACTCGAAGATCTTTAATATTTTTGCTTTCTCTATTTAGAAATTTAGAAGTTGGAAATATTACTAACAAATCATTCTCAGATAAAACTCATCCTTAACTACTATACAATCAAACAATATACAATCAGCATCCCTTCACTTCTTAACAAAATTATAAATAAAATCTTTAAAGTGAACAAAAATTTACATACAACACTTAAATTCCAAAACTCCAACAAAAAATAAAAATTATTCAAATTTAATTTAAATTCGTTCTTCCAATCTTCTTCATATAAACTCTAAAAAAACAAAAATCTTTTGTAATAAATCTCAGTTTACTGTGTTAGAAGTTTAATATGAAAAAAAAAAATAAAAAGAAAAAATAACTTTTAAAAAATTTTCATTTTTTTGCTTTTTTCATCATCAAAAATAATTTCATATAATTTATAAAAATTTTCCACTATGTTACCCTTTAAGTTTAAATACAAGAAACAGAGAGCAAAAAAAAATATATATTTGCATTACTCAACACAAAATGGTGCATACACACAAATAAACTTCTCTTCTTTACACTACCTTACAAAAATATTTAAAAAAAAAGCAAAAGAAAAAAATTGAAACAAATAAAGAAAAAAGCAAAAACGTCGTCCTTATTCTTGAAACATTGCAGAAAAGCATTTCACATACACAATAAGAATAACAAAAAACGGAAAATAAGGAATTTTTAAAATATTTTCCATATAAGTATTGTTTAAGGATTCTACAATACGAATGGAAAATGAAGAAAAACAACTAAAAAGTCAAAAAACAAAAAGGAAGATGAAAAAAATCACATATTTTCTTTCTCTTTTTTAAATACATAAATGTGGACTTAATGCCAATCTTAAATGCACATATGGCAAAAAAAAATGAGAAAAAATTTTCGTAAAATAAAAGAAAAAATTTCTAAATTCTTGAAATTTTTTTCCTATTTTTTTGAATTGTCCTTTTTCGAAAGGACAATAATAATACTAGAGTAGCAATACTATACCAATAATACCGTATCTTTAAATATTTATTTTGATGATGGTCTTCCATTTCAAAATCAAGAAAAAAAAAAAGGACAAGAAAAAAAAAATAAATGTCCATTTTTCTCTCTAATAGAGCACTATAGTTCTTTATGTTCAACAACAGGGATATTTACATACTTATATGCCTAAATGTACATGCATGTATGTTGTGTTTACGTCTACTGTTATGCATATACATACTGTTATGTATTTTCCCCATTCTCATACAAATTATACTTGGAGTATATTGGAGTAGAATATTTTTTTTTCGTTTCTTATTGGAATATACAAAAATTCTTAATATACTAGATGAATATCTCAAATTTTCTCAATTTGAAGTTATTCAACCGGATATTATTATATGATTTCTCTTGCTTTTTGTATTTTATTCCAATTCCATAATATTTATTCATTCATCCTTCGAACTATACCTCTCCATATAGTTGTTTTACTTCATTCTTTGTCACTGCATTCTTATTATAATTATATACATATATATATATCTGCTTATATTATTGTTTTTGTTATATTGAATTAGCTATATATATATAGTGTGAGTAGATATAGGATAAAATAATTGTATATACGTAGATAGTTATTTTTAATATCCTTTCGATTGCATATTACAATTTAATATATTATGTGTAATTTTTGTAATGCTGGACATTTTTTAAATTGAATGTATGTACATATATATGTATATATACCCGTATATTTTAAAATTTATTTGTTACTGCAATTTTTGAAAATTTTAATGGTGTAAAAATTAGATATGTAATATAGAAATTATACCTTTAATTTTTGGATAAGTGTAGTGTATGCAACTGTAATTTTATTAATGTAATATGAGTGTCCTTTTTATTTTTTATCAAAGAATTTTTTATTATTATTAAATTTGTATTTATAATGTGATAGAAAAACATTAAAATTCATAAAAATTTTATTAAAACTGATTGAGTTATTAAAATTACAATTAATGTGTATGTAAGTACATATTTTGAAATCGAAACATTCTCAGGTAAGCTGCAATAAAATCTTGAAGTTCTCATGTTTGAGCTGCAGTCTTAATATTAATCTTAACCTGTAATTATCGGAATTCTAGTGAATTTTTTCTTCGTACAGTGGGTTGTTTCAATATTTTAAATTAATATAATAATATAACAGATGATCTTTAGCCATTTGCACCTTTAACATTACAACAGCAAACTGCAGTATCACAACATAATACTTTCGATAAACAGTCGCAATAAATTATTAAGATGCAACTGAGCAACTAATTAAATTTATTATATAATATTGTATGAATTAATTAAACTATAATATATATGTACATGTATGTAAGCCAGAAGTTCAAGTACTTTTTATTAGACCTCTGACCATAATTCTACTCTCACAATTTCAATTTAATTTAAGAAATATAAAGTCAATTACTATTTAAAGTATTATTCAACAATTTTCTATAAAATACATTTTTTTATACAAAATGATCCTTTATGTAGATGTAGATGTAGTTCTTACAGGTTATAGAAAAGTTAAACCTGATTCTTTTTTTGCTGTCCTCCTACGTGGAATTAAGTAAAATTTAAAAAAGCCAACAAGTTTCAAGGAAAATTTCAACATCTACAATTAAGTGAAAAATTTGACAAATTTTTAGAATATTGTTATAAAGGAAGAGAATAAATACATTATATATACATAATATGTATACATATGTATGTAGAGAAAAAACTTAAAAAATTGATAAGAGAATGCAGGAAATTATGTCATATAGGTGAATTTTGTTTTTTCAAAATTAGAAAATTAAGTTTAATGTAGTTTTTAGTTTGCCATATGTGGAAATGGAATAGTAAAAAATGATGTCGCCTAAAAATTTCATCAACATTATGTATATATATATATAAATCCCCATATTGAGATACTGTAATAGGATTTTTAAATTATATCCGATTAAAAGTGATTCAGATTATGAAAATTTATTTGACTATAGAAATACGGAAATTTATTTGCAAAAATTAAATATGAAATATTGTTATTATTTCCAGTAGAATAATATTCTTGGGAATTTTTTAAAGAATTTTTGCTACAATATAAAGTAAATGAATAAAATAAAAGTCGGAAATTTAAGATATTATGCAAAATTCAACAATGCAAAAATTTAGTTTTTGAAACAAATTCTATAATGTACGAGTATACTGCAATAATATTGCCTCACCGTATTAACGTTACAGAAAAAATTTTAAGAAAATAATATAAATATTTAATTAAGTGGCAGGTTTTTACAAATACCAGCAAATAAACTTGTTTGTTTACTTCAAAATTTAAGGACGACAGTATTATTTTTTATTTACTTTTAATACTCAGTAATCAATTGCAGCAATCAAATATCTTAATACCAAAGGCAAACTTCAAAAACAAATTTTTCTATTCCTTAAATCCTTTGTTTTTCATTTTGAGATTAAGCTTAAGACATGAACAGAAAATAAATGCATCTATATTTTGGGTTTAGATATAAAACATATTAACCATTTTGAAGCAATAATTATTTGCCGATAATCTTGTAATTAATTTCAATTTACTTAGAAATTTTCCTTCGATCTTGTATTTTTTCGTATATCAACTATTGAAAATACGTAAATTTATAGCTGTTATACCATTATAAGAGTTCATATACAAAAAATATGAAAGTACTTTCTTTAACTGTGATATCATGAATAATCACCAGTTATTACAAGCCACAAAATATTTATGAGTAAATAGTTGATGTATATTGATGAAAATTTTACTAGCATAATATGAGAAAACAAAATAGATGCATTAAAAAATTTACTTGCATAGAATTTACTTGCATAATCTAATGAAAATGTTATAAAATAAACTATCATAAATACCTTCATATACTCTCAATTTTATGTATATTAAAGAGTGTATAATAAATAATGATATAATAACGAAGACGTGGGAGTTATTTTTTATTATATAACAATAAAAAAATAGAATATTACAAAATTGAGCTACCATAATACTATATTGTTTCAATAATAATTTAATAAGATCAAAATTTATACTGCAATATCGTAATAATCTTGTTGCATCATATTTTTATTTTGCATGTCATTCGTTGTATTGCCATCATTATAATTCATCAGAGTTTTCCGAACAAAATAATATTATTGTGTATAATATATAAGTATAGTGTATAACATTGTATAACAGAAATTTTCATCCATATTGCACTTATAATGTACATACTTGTGTTTAAATGTACATACCCTACTCAATAATATTATTATTGTGATAGTTTAAGCTATATAGATAATAATTTATGTAAACAGTTTAAAGTTCACTGTCGGGACATTATTCTTTATTCTAGAGAAAAGTATATTTGTTGTTGTTGTGGTTCTTATATCTTATTTTTTTTTCCTTTTCCACTCTTTTAATAATAACAATTGGTTAAACTGAAAGTGACACTTTTTATATACCAAAAAAAGAAAAATATTGTTATTCTTTTACTCGACATGTTCTTGCTTTAGTTGTATTATGAGAGGGGTGGGTAGAAACGAGTAGAGCAAGATTGATTTAAAGATGAGAATGAAAAAAAAAAATGTAAGTGATCATGTGTGATAGAGTAGAGATGCGGCGACAATTTCTTTAACTGTAACTTGACAAAGAAAACGAAAAAAAAAAAAAAAATACAAGAAATTTAACATTGGAGGAGCAAGTAACATGCTAGAGAAGTGAATGTAAACAATATTATTTAATGCAATGCACTTTTACTTTATTTCCTTCTCTATCAATCATATTAAGTTGTTCCATTATCGTTTTATTTTATGTTTTGCTCAATTTAATTTTTTTTGTGTTGTTCTTTGGTTTGATGCTTTGTGGCGCTGTAAAAATCTACAAATTTTTAAATTTGAGTAGGTACTTGTTTTTTGAGTGCATATGAAATGTATGTATGAATTTTTACTTTTTATTCCTTTAAGAATTTGAAATCAGATTTTTGTAATACTCTTGAAGATGCGAACCAAAATTTTTAAAATTTTAGTGTGATTATTTTAAATTTGATGAATTTGATAATCTTGAAATTAATTTCTGTATTTAAAATTAAATGCTGTCATTAACAAATATTACGGAGAATAATGGAACAGTTTATTTTACTGGATATTTGTTCAAGTAATTGGAAAATTTAAAATGTAGAATCTTTTAATAAACCGCCATACAACATTCATGTTGATATTAAAAAAATACATAAAACACTTGGTAAATTGAAGAGTTTGTTGCAGCAACATTAAGACCGATGTTTATGGAATCACAAAGTGGCCAGAATGTTTTGAAAAATTCACTTATATTTAAATTATTAATTTAAATCGAATTTTAACTACATTTATGTGTAAATTGCAGCAGAATTTAAATAATTTGAATAAAGAAAAGTTGTAGTGAATTTGTTCATTAAAAACATTCATTATTTAGGAGTTTTTTAGTTACAGATTTTTGTCATGTTTCCATCGAAATTATCAACAAAAATTTTACATTCAAATCAAATTAATGGGCTCAAAATCTGGAATTTCTTAAAACATTAAACAAAATAATTTTTATAATAAAATAAACACAATTTTCTTGTTATAATTTTCACGAACCAAGAAAAAAAAAGAACAAATTCTAAATTTTTTTTGTACTTTGTATAACATTTATTAATAACATCAATAAAGAGTTCATGTAAAAAATATTGTAGAAAAGAAAATCCAAGGAAACCCCCCTAATAAAAATTAACATCTATAATATTGAATTTGTATATATATTATATAGGTATATGCTTATATGTATATAGTTGCTATTATAATTGTTGCTATTTTCAGTACATTTACCTTTAAATTTAAACCAAATATGAATAGTATAAAAACAAAAAAACAAAATAGAAATATTTTTAATTGGATGCAATGTGATAAATTGTTGCCTAACAACCGACACAAATTATACTTTTTAGTGTCAACTTTTCTATTGAATGCTTTCTTAAGTACACATACCTATGTATATAATAGGAAAGAAAATAATATCAATTTGTGTATAGGGGTAAAATAATAAAAAAAAATTTAAAGAATATTTTTAAAATTGAAGAAAATATACAGGGTGTTAAAGGAATAGTATTGTATCTTATATGACATCATATGAGAACAAAACTTTTGTATACGCCAGTCTTTACTGATGACCTGAGGGATCCTTAAATCGAATTTGGTAACTCTTCGCTTCCTTAATTATTTAGAAAAACATTGAGATCTCGAGATGCGATAAAAGAAGATTGCTAAATGAGATTTTCTAACGAGCACTTAGTTAAAATTATATAGAACTATTTATTGTACTCATAATGAGACAAAGGGAAATTATATTGCAAGAAATACTAAAAATTTCCCGATTGGTGTTTCCACCTTAAAAATGAGGGAAATCATAAGAATTTTTTATGTGGTTTAATTTATTTTTTAAGTACTAGCATCTCTCACATGATGCTCTAACACTTGTTATACTTGAAGATATCTCTGTATTTTCTTTACATCCTGTATATATGTATGTGTATATCATAATGTATATAAAGTATTTGCATTTAAAAATGAAAATAAAACAATTTTTATTCTAAATTTGAGGTGTTATTAAAATTAAATTTTGTTATTCTATATATAAAAAAAAAGAAAAAACAAAAAAAAAGAAATTTTTTTTATATGTGATCTTGTAAATTAAAATTCAACCTTTTCCTACCTCAAATGAAAAATTAAAGAAGAAAATCATGTATAAAATAAATTTTCCTATTTTATTTTTGTTTTTTCTTGTTCATTTTAAATCTAAATTTAGTTTTTGAGATGGAATATCATTTTTATAAAAACGTGATATATTAGATGTATTTTAAATTTATATTATAAAAACATATGTACATACATACAATATGTAAATTCGTATATAAGAATATACTTATATAACATGTGTAAAATTTCCGTAACAATCATATTATGTACAAATTTCAAAATGTGTTTTTGATGTTCTATTAAAGGGAACTAAAAAATTTTTTTCTCTTAATTTTTTTATTATTTTGTTCTCATTTTGGTTTTTTGTCACACTAAAATACCAAAATGCCATTTTAGTTCCCTATGGAGTGTTCTTACTACTATACTGTACATAATATACATATACATTTTATACAATTTGTTCTACAGTGTACACTCTAGTATATTTTATTCTACTATCATGCAATTTCTGTGAGAAATTA